ATACAAATAATGTACAAACAGTTCAACGATTAATGTTGTTTAATAATTTTTAATCGATGATCAAAATTATGTTTAAAAAATTAATTTGTTTCGTATACAGTGAAATAATTAATGATCGATGATCAAAGTCACTCTCACGTAATTTATTTCGATCGACAGAGCCCCATTGATCCATCGATTAAATTTCTGATTGTTTAAATATATTACGCTCGCTTAAAAAGTTTCGAGAACGATGATCGTGAGACGAATCGAGAAAGGTTATTTTTTCCTCCACCGAGTTCCCATGTATTATTCATCCCTGCGCTCCTGATATTTCATCCCTGAATGCTCTAACGCGTTCGGAAGACAGCCTCGTTCGGGTTCGATATTCAGGATAACGTTTTGACACCGATAATCCTGCAGATGGCGTGCACAGGCAACAGGATACAGATTATTCGGTGTAATTGAGACACGTGAACAAAATTCAAGAGCACGTAACTCTGCTAAACTAACCGTCGAACGTTACTCGAATTGTTTCGAATAAATGTTTATCTTGCCAACTATATTTCACTCGCCTCGTTCTCGAGATTAGTGGGAGTAGTGGCAGCAGTAGTACCGCCTTTTCGCCACCAGAGGTCACAACGTTCTGGAGTTGGAAAGAAGAAGAGGGGAGAGGGACTTCCCCCCTTCTTCTCTCGCGTTGTTCAACTTTGTATTCGTTCTTCGTGCGCCAGAGGTGACGCGTGATCTCTCTCTTTTTTTTTTTTTTGACCGACGGAACATCAAATAAATAATTAAACGGTTAAAAGTGTTGTATACGAGAAGGATTTGCAAATTTGTTATTATCGATGAAGCGTTAATTGTTTACGAATATTACGGTCACTTTTGAGATTTATCTTCTTTCGAATGAAAAATAAAGTCAGTTTTTAGAAATGAAATTTATAAATTCGTAAACAATTTATTTATATAACAATCGTTGATTTCTCTTTTAAAACACAATCGTTATTATCGTACGAAAGAGTTTTCATTCTATTTTTAAAATTCTTACAAAAAAAAAAAAAAGATACTATAAACTCACCGTATCCATTCGAATGCTTACCTGCAACAGAAATAAAACAATCGAATTAAGAATATCGCAATGAAATCAAATCGATCGTACAATTAGCTTACTCGTATCGAATTTACCTCGAAATTAAAATTAAATTCGAAAATAATCGCTTCGATGATTTTTCTCACGCTAAAAAAACACGAACATCAAAGATATCAAATTCTTGGGTACATTCGGAAGCATTCATCCCGGAAACCGCTTCAAGGTCAAGGAGCTGGAACTCGAAAAACTGGAACGAAAGCCGGGGAAGCAGATGCGATCGAGTGAAGGAGGGCAAGTCGTTACAAGTCATAAAGCAATCCTCTGCCCAGTAATTCACTCGAGCCGCTTTTCTCGCCGCTTGTCGCCGTTGTGATGCATGACCGCAACCGCTCTGCAATTAGTTTCTCGCGACAAACAGACCTTTAAAGCGCGTACATGAACTATCTGAGATATACCAGATAAATGTACGACGTTTAATAACTCGATCAAATCGACCCCCCTTAATCCCCTTTTAAACGAACTAATTTTTAATAACACACCTGTATCGTGTATTCGACTGAGTTTGTTTATTTTAAAAATTCGTTTAGAGATTAAGTTGCACTCTCAAAGTGTTTCATTTATTTTTTCCATTCAGTTATATTCACTCCAAATGTTCGATTAATTAATATTTAGTTTATTAAATATATATATATATTTGTTAAAACTAAAGTTAGAAATAGAAATTGAACAAGTCGTTCATTTCTCGAGGGATTATTCCGTTGAGATTTTTAAACTCTTTTAAAAATCAACTCATAATTTAAATAATCCTCGTGAAGTATTGACCCAAGCGGTCAGTCAGCTAGATGGTCTATGATATCTTTGGTTTCGTGTATACAAATGTCTCAGTTCGCTTGTATTTGTTCTTTGTATTTACATGTTTTAATCGTGTTGGAGGATATATAGAACCGTTTGCAGATTCGTTGGCCTATGAAAACCGTTTAACATAATTTCGGCTCGTAATGTAAATCAAATTGCGAATAAATTGTGTTAACGAAATGTCAAGCGCTTGTTGTTGAATTATTTGCGACGTTGACTGTTGAATCTGTGGAATGTAATAACACGAACGATAGCGTCAAGAGTATTATAATTTACGCGATGCGTGTTCCGAGCCAGCTTTTATTTTATTTTATCCTATTTTTTTCTTTCCTTCTTTTTTTAACTCAGAAAGAAATCGATCTCGAAATTGTGTTAAAGAAATAATGACCTCTGAACGAGTTCGAAAATTTTCGCTTCTTTTGCGTTTATTTATCGTGAACGCAGTTATACAAACTTGAAAAGAATTTTATTGAAATTAAAATCTTAAACTTCTTCTTCTTCCGTATTGTAATTAAAGGAGTAAAAAGATAAGATATAATATTGAAGAGAGAAAAATTTATTATTATCCCCGCCGCAATATTATTATTAATTAACTTTCTCCTCGATCCCACAATAAAACCCCTCTCTTTCAAAATTATGCAATATTAAGAAGCCTTCAACCATCTAAATCCCATCCTTCCTACGTAAATCCTGCCTTCCACCCCTAAAAACAACTTCCACCCAACGTTTAAAGCTTCCTGAAATTCGAGCAACCCCTCGAAATCATCAGAACCAGCATCCCTGCGTTTTCTGACTCTATGAACTCGATGTAACGTACACCCTTTTGTATACGATCAATCAAGAAATTCAGAGAAATTCCAAGAAACGTAGCATCCATTCAACAAGTTTAAAGAATTTTTCGCAAAATATTTTATCCCTCCCTCTTTTATCGACGTAAACACGAATCGATGACCTGTCTTTTAAACGTCAAATGCCATCGTCTCGACATCGTCGTCCAAAGAAGAAAAAAATTATTTTTTTGAAAAAGTAAAACTCCTCGAACATAACTGCACGCATTTGGAAAATATAATGGAACGTCGTAACGCCAGCCAGTGTGGTTACCAGCAATTAGAACGGCAACCTATTTTCACAGGAAGGCAAAGGAGCGAATGAAGCAGGGAGATTGGAGCGCAGGCAACACGGCATAACTAATGGCGAGGAGATAAACTGGTTGGTAAACGACGCGTAACGAAGGTGGCGCGGAGATTCCGCACAGAAACGGAAATACCCAGGGGATGCCCCTTGTAAAGGAAATTGTTGAAGGATCCCGGCCGGAAACCACTCTTCCACCCGCGTTCACTCGTGGAAAAGATGCCAGCCATGTTGCTCCACTGAAATTTTTAACAATTATTTTCTCCGATCTTCTAATTATTCCCTCGTGTGAATAATGGAAACAATTTTAAGGAAATTTGAATATTGACGTTAAAATTTGTAAATCGGACTTTCGAAGAAATTTATTTCGTCGTCTAATAATCTCGTCGTATGCGAACAATTAAGAAGATATTTATTTTTGAGATGAAATTTAGTATTGATATTTAAATTGGAGAGATTTTTGAAGAAACTTATTTTGTCGTCGTATGCGAACAATTAAGAAGATATTTATTTTTCAGATGAAATTTAGTATTGTTATTTAAATTGGAGAGATTTTTGAAGATACTTATTTTGTCGTCTAATAACCTTGTTCGTTTTTATTAACATTTATCGTGTAGGTATGCAATCAAATTTAATATTGAAATTTGTGATTGGTTAAATTTTTGCGAATTATTTTGTCGTCACTTTAAAATCATGGTTATTTTACAACAATGGAAATTAACATAATGGGAAGAGATTTATTTTCACGATGAAATTTAATGATTTTCCAAAAATATCGCGAGGTAAATTTCCTCTTGTGTTCTTAAATAAAATAGAGCAATCGTCAAGATTTATTTGCTACTTATTTTATTACTATACTATACGTTTTTTATCTTATCTTATGTTTGAACGTTAATTTAGCTATCTTACTTGGCAAATAAAATTTTCCTTGCTTTACGAAAAAAGAAAAGAGAAGAAAAGAAAGGAATTATAATTCATCATCAATTCGTATCAAGTTTAATTCAAAAAAAAAAAACCTTCCTCAGTCATCGAATCGAGTTGTAATTGACCGATTGACAATGGATCGACGGTATCAATGCCAGATCATGGAAGATTGGATTCAAAGTTTTCATGTTTATCAGCAAAGCCTCGTTGGACATGACCGAATTCGTAAGTATCCTTCACCCTCCCTTCGGTAGATAGGAGTTTAATAACGTGGAATTAAGTCGAGGAATTAACTTAACAAATTTACCACTTCCCAACTACTTTGGCCTGCTTAATTTTCTACTTAATTTAATCAGTAGCGGGCACAATAAGTTAAAACTCAAATATTCGACGAGCTTTATCACGTTGAAAAACTATCTTGTTTAAGTAACAATCGAAATTTCATCACGCGTAACGAAGCATATATTCGTATTATTAGAACATCGCAAAATTTACCAATCACACGTACGTAGACGCTCTAATCGACGCGAAAGTTCGTTTCGATAAATTCGTCGAAAAAAAAAAAAAAAAAAAAAAAAAAAAAAAAATTTAATTCCCTTCCCATCCGATTCCATCCTGTTACATCAGAGTGTACAAGTAAAACGTATGAATAAAAAGAAAAAATTAAAACAAACGTCGAGGGCAATAATCTTATCTGCAATAATCTGTAAAATTGGCAGCGAGGGGGGAGACATTATTAACGAACTACTACAATCTACGATCCGAGCAGTACGATCGTGTTATAATTTGTCTCGCGCGTCTTTTACACGATTGAGCACGCTTGTCGAACATACAACAAGTTTCGTAAAACAGGTGAGACCTCTCTTAATCGTCTCTTCTCGAACCCCAACATCCTCGTAGACGCAGAAAATCGACCGATGCAAGGGGGAGCGTGAGATCATCCTCGAGGAAGAGCGGCCGCTTGGCCCCGCGCCACGTTTCGTCGAGTCGGCTTAATCAGCCCGGCAGATCATCGGTCACTGTCGATTCTGTCGTTTCGCGCGCGGCTCGTTCGCGCCATTTTTTCGGGAAAAAATTCCTTTTCCAATGGGGAGAGGAAATCGGGTCGATAATTGCTCGCTGCTGGTTCTGTTAATGGTGGCCGCGAGCTGTGCGAAGGTGACGACCAAGTTTGGCGACATCACGGGGCTTTGGAGCAGGAGCTCGAGAGGGAGGCTCGTGACGCATTATCTGGGCATTCCTTACGCTCGACCGCCCCTCGGCGACTTGAGATTCAGGGTAAGTGTTTGCTTTATTTTTCTTGGGCGTGGCACAGAGTTTTTTGGAAAGATATTCTCCACGTGGTGGGTGTATATTGGGGTGGCGAGAGAGGGGAGGATGAATAATAATAATAATATGTTTCTGACGATGTCTAATTCTGCGACAGAGCCCTCAGCCGTGGGATGAAACGTGGAACGGGACTTTCGAGGCTACGAAAAATGCCCCACCGTGTTATCAGATGTCGAAGGATGGGAATATGATTGGAGAAGAAGATTGTCTCTATCTCAATGTTTACGTGCCAAAAGTGAGTGGAGAAAGAGAGGTATGAAAGTAAGGAAGTAGGGAATAGAAGAGGAGTCAGCGAGGGGAAGAAAAGAATTGATGAGGAAGGGCGGTGTTAAAAATATCTTGTTCTGAATCCTGTTTAAATATATCAATCGTGGTTCGAGATAATTCACAATGTTGCGCGAGAAAATTCATGTAAACTCGCGAAGCTCTGAACAATTAAATAGCGGCGTTTTGCGAAACAACAAGTTGCGAAACTCGAGCTCGATTAGATCGCAAGGTCTGCTCCCGATTTAATTGAATTTAAACGTTTCACAAGGTAACGCATTTTCATAGATATGATTGAAAAAGAATAAAAAAGAGGCGGAATTTTCTTTCGATTATTATTTCTTAGGAACGTTTGCAATTTAATTTGAATAATTATTACGTAAATCGATACTTGTAACAGAAATTAATAAGAATTTTTTTTTTTTTTTTATTATGAATCCGTGTCATTTACAATCATTTTTTAGTCCTCTTTCGGAATTTACCGCAAAGATATTATAATTTTCCAATTATAATTAACTTGTATCAAGTATAACTAAATTATTATCGAGAATACATCTTGTATACCTCATCATCGTGTGCGGTGGCGCTATCTACAATTTTTCTTTAATCTCTAAGCAACTATCTTTTTTATAGTAAGTTCACGTAAGTTCCATTCTATCCTTTCTTGCAAGTAAAACCTTCTTTTTTTTTTTAAAAAACGTTGTTCTTTAATTCTAAATTTTTAAACGTAAATTTACATTTTATATTTATTTTATAATTTGCCTTTTAATCGTCGATTAGATGAAATTTTTCAGTTCAGTTGAATAAGAATTTTTCAAAAGAGAAAATAATTTTCGTTAAATTTTTATTAATCGATTATTAATCGTCGTTAATAGAAACGAGAAACGGTTAAAAGATTTTTTTCTTTTTCTTTTTTCGTTTAGGAAATTTCAGAAAAGGAGAAGAAAAGCGGGCTTCCGGTAATGGTATACGTATACGGTGGAAAATTCTCCGTTGGTGATGCTAGCAGCCGCAAACATCCATCGGAATATCTAATGGATCAGGATGTAATCTTGGTTCTGATGAATTATCGTTTAAATCTTTTAGGTAATAATTTTGCGATTTTTTTAATACTATTTGAATGAAATTTATAAAATTCAAATGCAAATTTACACACGTCTATAAAATCTATATATAATAAAAGTTTCAAAATTAAAAATTGGAAAGAAAATTTAAGAAAAAAATGAATAAATATTATAAGCAACTTTTTATGATTCAGAATTTCCAATTTCCTAATTTTCCAATTTAAACAGGTATCCACTGTTTTTCCGAATGAAATTTAATCAAAATTTCATCAATGTGCAAATTTACACGCGTGCAAATAGTAAAAGTTTGAAAATTAAATTGGAAAGTGGAAGGAATAAAAATTAACAATTTTTTTACGATTCAAAATTTCCAATTTCCTAATTTTCCAATTTTCCAAACAGATATATCTTTTTTTTAACCGTTCTCACTGTTACTTATTTCTCAATTGTTCAATTTCCAACGGTGTTCCGGATACCAAGCACTCCCAAATTTTCTAATTCTATAATTTCCAATTATTCAGCCTCAAACTTCAAAACATCTCTACAAAACTTCCAATTTCTTCGACATCCAAATACTTGACTCTTCAACTTCAACCCCTTCCAATTCAATCAGACATATCCTCCAACATGCACCAGTTTCCCGCCAAAATTCGAGACAAATCTTTCCGAATTTTTTCATTCTGTAATTTTGGATTCTCATCCAGGATTCTTGAGCACGGGCAGCAGAGCCAGCCCAGGTAACTACGGTTTGAAAGACATCGTGCAGGCGTTGCGCTGGATCCAGGAAAACATCCGCTCGTTCAACGGGGATCCGAACAAAGTGACCCTGTGGGGTCACAGCGCGGGTGCTGCCGCCATTCACATGCTGGCTCTGAACCGAAAAACGGAAGGATTGTTCAACAGGTACATCCTACAAAGCGGGTTCGCCGTCAGCCCTTGGGCCGTGAATCCCAGAAGCTTGATGAGAAGGGTGGCGCTGGACGTAGCCAACCATCTTTATTGTCTTCCTTCCAAAAGGGAAGGAAGGAAGGAAGGTAGGGGGGACGAGGAAATGGAAAACGAGGCGAGCGAAGAGTCGGCGCTGAATGTGACGATTAGCTTAAGTGGAATGGAGGATGTAATGGAAAAATATAGCGAGGAGGAAGAGGAAGAGATGATGAAGTGTTTGAGGAGTGTTGAGGTCGAAGAGTTGGGGAGTATTCTGGATTATTATTACGTAAGAGAATATTTTATTTTTCCTTCCCCTTTTTTATTTATATCTTCCTTGAAAATGAGAAACGAGACTAGAAGATATACTGAGAGGCCATTTGACCTGTAATATATTCAATTAATTATTATTATATACTTTAGAAATAGAAATACCTAAACACTTATTACATAACATAACTTGTTACTATTTATATAATCTATTGCACAAAGAAAAAATTTAGAATTTTAGATGGAAACTGTTGTAATGAATGAAAAATTTAAAAAAAAAAAATACTTCTTTAAGTTGGGATAATTCTTTAACATCAATTCGTCTCTGGTTGAATATTTGTCGAGCAGAACGTATTGAATACGCCGTGCTGCCTTTTTAAACCAACCATCGAGGAGGAATCAAGCGACGCTATCGTGACGATGCATCCCTTAACAGCGATAAAAAATCGCTTGTTCAGAGATATACCATTTATTATGGGAGTGGTTCAGGAAGAAGGGCTGGTGAAAACGATCGGTAAAAAGAAATTTTAATGTATAGACTATATTATCTATCACATTTTAAGTTACATATAATACACTTAAGAAGAAGATCATTCAAAATACGTAACTGATTTCATACACAATGGATAGCAAGTAATGTGTCGATCGAACGTTTTAATTGGAAAATCGTATTTTCGTATTATCCCTAAATATTTACACATTTAGAACAACATCCCGTTGAGAAGAACTACGAAATCGACGAGTTCTTGAAACATTCTTAAAAAAAAATTGAAATTCGAAAAAAGTTTTTCATCGATGTTTTTATCTCCGCTCACTTTTAAAGATGTAACGAGATGTTTTGTCTCCATCCCGAACAATTACGCCTACTCTTCCCAACCGACGAATACCAGATATCCTTCTCCTGCTCCTTCGTGCAACGTAGGAGTAATTCGCGATTATGTATTTTTCAAAAATTTCCTCCCCGGTAATAATATTGCTCGCCCAGGAATTCAATTATAAGTTTTAATTAGATTTTCGAAAAAAAAAGTTGCCCGTTTTTCAAATTACAAGAATACGTGACGGACACCGCCAGCCAAGATGAACTGATAAATAATTTCGAGACATGCGTGACCCGAGTGACGGATTACTATTGGATAATTTCAAACTCCACGCCGCTGGCCGAGCCCATAGAGAAATTCTACTTCGACGGGGACGTCTCCTCGACGAAGGGGATACGAAATATCACGAACGTGAGTATTCGTTTGTGTATAATATTCGAAAAATAGGATATCTTTTCCACTTTCACAAACTCTTTTACACGCTCGATCACGTTTCATAAATAAAAATATAACCATCTCGTCGTGTTAAATGTTGTTGTAAATTCCACAGGTTTCGAGCGACGGCTTCCAATTATACCCGGCGTATCGAACGTTGAAGCACCAATCGAAAGTAATGAATTCGAGCACGTATTTTTATTTGTTCAATTACGAGGGCACGTTCAGCTACCTTTTCTCCCTTGGATATCAAAACCGTTACGGCAAGTATAATTTTTACATTTCATCGAGTTGATCGATAAACGATCATAATTCTTTTCATCATTTGGACCGAATCAACAAATTTGCAGGGGTCACTCACTGTGACGATTTGAACTACTTGTTCCCTATGTTGAACGCGAAATTGAAGGATCTAATGCTGCACAACACCGAAAACGACGTGACTATGATCAACATAATGACCGAGTTGTGGGCTAATTTCGCGAATACGGGGTATAAAAATGCCTTCTGCAATTCCTTCGAACGTGTTCTTACTTAACACGTTCGTCGCCATATACGGGTGGCGCTTTCCTCTTCAAGAAAAATAAGATTTTAACCCTTTACATTGTATTTATATTTAAGAAAGTTGTCAATCGAGAGTCCTCTGGAATATGCAATTATATAGGATAGCGATTATATGAATTTTAAAAGAAACTTAATGGAATAAGCACTGAGATATAAATATAAAATATACTTTGGAATCACGGAATTTAAGAACAGTAGAAAAAAAGAGGAATTTTTACACAATTTTAAATCTAAAATTATATATACCTTGTATGGTAACATAGTATAGAGTGGAAGTTGGACAGCCAATTAGAGGCTTACATTCAGACCAAAATACTTAAAATTGAGGAAACAACGATTCAGAATTGGAATTTTAAAATATATAAAATAAAAACTGCTTCCATTACTTAAGAGTTTTCCACAACAGTAAGATTTGGGTCAATCAACTCAATCTGGAAATCACGATGGGCGACGAACGTGTTAAAGAAAGATACGTTGAAAGTTACAAAGAGAAATTAAAGAGAATATTGAATCGACAGTGTGCCGAAGACTTGGGGAGTGGCGCCGTGGCCGGATTACAAGGATTCCGAGCAGTTCCTTTCGATCGGAGCTGGGAAAGTTCCGAACGTGACCGTGGGCCACGCGTTTTTCCAACAACGAATGGAATTTTGGGACGAATTATACGCGAACATAACGCCGTACCTGAACTTCGAATTCGACGACGTCTCCAACACTTCGAGCGCAAAGCGTAGCGGAATACTCATCTGTTTGATATCCACTCTATTTGCCATCCACTTTCCAAATTAAACGAATTAATTCAACATGTATATACACACACACACACACACACATATATATATAATACGCACGTTCCGACATAGATTATCTCCAATAACAAAGAAACGTGACAATTGACTCGAATTTTCGACCCACACTTTCGTAAAAATTGCTTGCTCTAAAAGCTAAAGAAAAAAGGAGAGAGAGAAAAAAAAAAATCCGTGGGAAAGAACAACAATTTCTAAGGGGAACGAGCGTGAATAAAGCATAGATGATCATCCAGTAGAGCGAGTAGGGGTAGAATTCTTCCCAGTGGATCGAGGGCCTACGAAAAATATAATGGAATCCGGCGAAAATTAAGCGCGGAGAGAGTTGGAACCGCGCGTGCATAAAATATTCGTTCGCGCTCGGGGAAATTAATCACACCGCAGCCCCCTTCTTCTTTCCACCCCCTCTATTTCCCCTGTTTTGTCGAACGTTTCGCCCCCTCTCCTCCTCTTCCTCTCTCCGTTCCTTTCGAGAAATTTTTTCCCAGAAAAAATTCTCTTTCTTCTCTTTCCGCTCGTCCTCGTGTATATTTTAGTCTCGACGAATGGAAGGAATGGAAGAAGAAATTATACGAAACAATCGGGGAGCTTCCCTCGCGTGGAAAGGAATCGTTTATCCTGTGCGAATAAAAAAACTGGATCACGGCGTGGAATTTTAATTAGGCGGAGGGGGGGAGGGGGGAGGGGGGAGGGGGGGGAGGGAATTATAGCTTTTGTTTCTTTAGGCAAGATTTTAAACGACTCGCGGAATATCCCTTGCAACTTTTCGAGCAACTTCCACCGTTTGTTAAACGAAACTTGTTCCACCGACTGTTGATTTATTACATTCGGAATTCGGAACACTTTGTATTCGGGATAGAATTTTAGAATCCAGACCCGAGGATTTTTTACACTTTCTTCCGCGTGAATTTTATACCTAATTTTTTACGAAAGTTGGAATAATAATAATAATAATAATAATTTCGAGGTGGCTTAAAATCGATTTTACTTTTAACCAAAAAAAAAAAAAAAAAAAAAAAAAAAACTAAGCTTTCTTCTAATTGCGTGACAAGAAATTATCCTAAGCTCGCACGAATCAAAATTCTGTTTACCGTAAGAGATAATACGAGTCTCTGGAGGGACCTTGAAGATAATAGTATTTGATCTCTCGTCTTTGCTCCAAATTTTCAAAGTTATAAATTTTTTTCTTACATCATGGAGTAAGCTCGAGTTAATCCGTCGCGCGACGACAGTGATCCTCAAACTTTTCCTAAATTTCAGCCTCGATTAATTTTGTTAACGATTCGATTAGAAAGAAGAAGAAGAAGAAGAAGAAGAAAATAGCGATAAAACAAAACCGAAAAGTAAACCGACGACAAAAACCTGGAGCTCCTCCCTCCCCTCCCCCACCCCCCCCGAAAGGAAAAATCAACAAACGAGTCAGAAAAAAACCTATCGAACCGTATCCATTTCCTTTGTTGAACTCATACTCATTCCCTCTGAATGAGTGGTAAAAAAAAATTGTTCAACAATTCCGGGAGGAGCGGAAAACGATTGTCCACGGAAATGGGCGAAGCTCGACGGCTGGAAATCGACACGTTGTAGCCCGCGATTCGCGCCCCGCTGAATTTTCGAAAGGGCACTTGGCCCCGTGTTTGTCCTCGTACACTTGGGCAGAGGGGGCTCGAAATCGCTTCGAAAACGATTATTCGACTGCTGGGTAAACACACGCTCGTCACACGGAAACTTATTTGTCTATGCAAATGGTCAATCAACGGTGGCGCCACCTCTGCGGCCCTCCCGCCTTCCTGTTTCGCTTCGAGTATCCGCCATTAACTGTTTTTCCTCGCGCCTTCGCCGACCCCTTTGTCCTCCCCCCCCTCCCCCCCTCGTTGAAAAAATAACACCGCCCCTCCTCGAAGAGGGGCGACCGATTCCGCCAACGAAGAGAAAAACAGACAGTGCTGCCGCTATCGATCGTTAGAATTTTTTCAAGAAGAAGAATTTTAACAATTTTATCTTCTAATGAAACTGGAAATTAATTCTCGAAACATTCGAACAATCTTTTTTCTTAGATTCTTTCTTGATCGTTGAATAAATATGTTCCGTTGATTCGAAGCGTGTCAATTTTTCTTTTTTCTTCTTTTCTTCTTGGAAGAAGAATTTTTTTTCCCACACGTTCGGTGAATTTAATTAGCTGACATAAAATGATTAAACGTATGAAACTTTCATGCTTCAATATTTTATGCATCTTTACGTATAAAGAAAGATAATTTGTTGAATATTAAAAATCTGTATTGTCGATTTTTGATATTTTAATAATAAAGTAATTGCTAAGAAGCATCTCCAGATTTGTCAGTATTATAAAATATCCTTACCAATAACGTTTCACTTACCGTCTATTATTCTTATTTCTCATCTTTTTATACTACAAAATCAAACTTTGAAAATAATATTTCCACCACTGTCAGATAAATAATCCAACCATTCGATAATATATTATTCCACGCTTTATAATTATAAACAGCTTAGGAATCTATAAATAAATATTATGTTCGAATTCCAAGCGATGCTGGAGAGCAATCGTTGGAAGGGTTAAAGTTTTCCGATTATCCTTCCTCTTCCTTCTTATTATATTGGAATAACTTGGCAAAATCATCACATCGCCCCCCCTCCTCGCATCCTTCCATCCGCCTTTTATCCAAAGAATCGTAACGCAGCCGCACAATCATTATCACCACGGTGTTCCACGGTGAGTAACGAACGAAATTGCCGCGGCTTTCCAAGTTTCCAGTTCGCGGGATCCGGATGCTGTTCGTGTCTCGCGATAATGAGGTATTCGCGGATTCGACGAGCATCGCCGCAACACCGACAGGTACGCGTGTAATTAGTAAAACTCCGGGAAAATCGAGCCGCGTCTTCGATGAGGTCTTCTTGCCTCTTTTATAGAAATTCCACGTTGATGAACATGATATAATTAGTGCGTTGGCGGAAGTCGATGAATGGAGGATATCTTCCAACCTCTTGTCGCGCGTTGTCTCTTTGTTAATTTCATCCATTTTAATGTATACTCCTTTTTGGCCAAGAATTTATCCTTCCTTCAAATGTTGTATCTCTTATTATTTTCATTAATAATTCATAATTTTAATATATTTTCTTTTTCTAGATATTACAATTTCTTCGAATATTATTGTATCTTTTATTTCACGATACGCGAAAATTCTTCCCTAGCTTCATTCACTTGGAAGGAAAAATAATTTTTACGCACGCGACGAGTAATGTAAACTCGTAACTAGGTGTATCGTTTAAAAACGAAAGCAGCGCCATTAATTAACTTTCTCGCCGCGGGATGGCGCTCGGTGGAATGCAAGCAATGAGGACGAGATCGTTCCAAGACGGGACAACTTGCTCCTCCTCTCGTCGAAAACTGTAATATCATGTACGATAGCGTCTTTGTCGCCCTTTGGGGACAGTTTAATTATTCGTGATTTTGGAATTGGCTCCGAATCGACAAAGTTCCTTCCTTCGGATCATTCTTTGGACATTGGTGAGTTGTGATCAAAGAATATATTTCCTTTTAGAAGGAGGAAATTACTGCTTGTACAATTTTTGGAAGAATTTTTAATCAACAAATTAATTTATCGTATAATTAAAGCAATTTGGATAAATTAGAAACTCTTCGGATAGTTTTTAAATTAATTAGAGGTTAGGTTAGCCTCTGAATCAATTTCCTTTTTCTAATTTATACATATACGTTGTTAAAACGTATTTTAACGTAATTCGAGAATTAAAAAAAATCCTTTTCTATGGATCCTTTTTCGTCCTCGTTAATTCCAGGATCGTGGTATCGTTAGCTACGTAGAAATTAGCCGAATATTATTCGAGATCTGTGCACGCGTAACGTGCGACGAAATTCGAGACACGTGCACGGTTCTCGATGATATTGTCGGTCGACTTGCCGCTATAATGACTGGGACCCGTGGCGCAAAAGTGGAATGGAAATCGGGCGCGAGCATCGATTACGATACGGGCGTGTCGCATGACGGAGCAGAGCGGAATCGGGCGGCACAATGCGCTAATGCGACGCATTGTTCGAGGCTGGAAAAATTGGCGCTCGTTACGGGGGCCAACAATGGCGGGGCCGTGGCCGATCGTCCACGCGTCGCCCTCGAAAATTATATAGCCATATTCCGCCCGTTGCGTACACCACGTTTCCGGAAGAATCGGCTCAACTGGAGAAAGAAACGAGAAATCGAGGGAATTTCTGATCGCTTGACCGATATACCTCGGTCGGCAGATATAACGTGTTAACAATCCAAATGTTTTCTCAAATCCTTGGATTATCCGAGTCTTATTTTCACAACAATTGTGAATTTCAAATTTCCGAATTCTTAAGATTATTTATTAAATTAGAGCAAGTCTTTCCTTAAACTTTTAAATTTTCTAAATTATTTTATATAATAATTCTCGAATTCTTTATTCTCAAGGTTAATACACTTTTAAGAGCGTTCTCTTAAAAGCGTCGAAATTCTAAAGCGTTAAAAAAGAAGTTCAAAGCGGCGATCGAAATTCTCGAGTTTCGTCCTTTCCAACCGTCTCCAAACTTTCAAAATTCTTCGAGCAGTCCCCAAGTTTCCCTATTCCTTCTCTACCTTTACCTTTCAATGTTTCTCGAACCACCAATCGCCATTTCGATTAATAGGATCGATTCCCGTGGTCTTAAATATTAGGGGGAGGATTACCCCCGTAATCCGTTGCATCCCCGAACGAGGCCTACGAGAAAATGAATATTTGAAAACGCGAAGGGATGAGAGAGATGTTATGTCCCACGATTCCCCACGAGGCCGCCCAAAGGAGAAATTTTCCAATCTTTGTACGTTCCGCCAATTTTAGGATTATTGCCCTCCCGTTTTCTGCTCTCCAACCGAATTCTCTCCTTCGATTATATTTATCCATCAGGAGTAGTGGGATATCGCGTGCATTATCGATGAAACGATATCACTGTTCCGGTTCTATCTGCTTCGTTTCGTAGAAATTTCGCCGATTATCCGGTTTAATATCAATTTTGGACACGACAATCTATATTTAAAATCGATTCATTTTTACAGTGAATGAGGGGAAGAAATTGTTACGATAATTGTTAGACTCTTAAAGTGCATTGGGGTATTTTTGAAGGATCGATTCTGTATAAACTTCTAGCCAAAATATATATATTATCGTCTCGAATATGTATTCAAAGT